CTATTTAAAGTGACATTTAGTGGCTGTCAGTCCATTTTTCACTCTCCCGCGGAGATGAAAGTTTGTCCTGCCTCTGCAATAGTAAGCAGGAAAGTGCAGACTGTTCAAAGGAGTTCATCCATTTGTTATAATGCACTATGATTTAAAGTGCAGATTTATTAACCTGGACCAGGGATCGGCATGGGGTGGTAATGGAAGTGATAAATCCTACGGGTTACTGTTAGAATCAACCCAAGAAAGTTATTAGGTTCGTGACTACATTAAAGAGCATGGATTGGCCTTCGCTGCTATATTTCTCTTATTTTTGGCACGGTATTTTTAGGCTTAACCTACTTCCAACGGGTCGATTGAACGTGAATGCTTCGAGAGGAGAAAATTATCGACAATTCTCGATTTTGAATGGCTTTTAACTCGAACAGATCCAGATAATTCATTTCAACCACAGGCCACGACCAGTATTGATCGCCGCCAACATTGCCTCCGAAAGATCCTTTTAGATTAGTGTGAAGAATACGAAATGCTTTAATTAGGGATATTTGATTCAAATAATAAATGGTATCAGTGATATTACTGTTTTCACGAGGATGATTAGAATCGCCGATTGGATGATCAGAATATAGAAAGGTTAACTGTTACATTAGTATACAGAAGGCTATACATATACTCACCTAAATACTAGTATAGCTGTCGTCAACCCCACGTTGCATGTTCGCCTTGTGACAGTTTGAAACATCACCAACACGATATGTAGTTGATGCTGTCAATCCCTGTCACAGCAGTTTAGATTAACCCTTGACTACCGGGCCACATGAGTTTTATTTGTTTAGTCTAACTTTGGTTTCTCACACTCGTAGTACGCGAAAGGTGCGAAACCATCGTCAGGATGAAATGGGGTACACATTCCTTAAGCTCGTGGCGTATGTTACAATTGTACTGTTATGCGTTCTCATTGACGTGCATATTTTGAGTAACTGCTCGTCAATCGATGCTCTTGTGCCCGTCTCAAGATTCCATTCTCTGTTAGTCAGACAAGGCTTACCGATTTTCCACTCGCACTGTTCACAAGCTGGATAAATCAAGTGAAACTCGTGTTGAGCAAATACACACTTCGCTGCCGTTAACATATAGTGGTTCAGCTGCCGCCCTTACCAAATGTTTACCTTGCGTGGCCTCTTGGTTGACGAGGACACCGCTCCTTTAAGCACCAAACTAACCTGTTGTAGATAGTTGTAAATATTCTATACCAAATCTGCTATGACGTTCTATGTTGTATAAGTGATTTCTTGTACTGTACATTCTAGAGGCTCAATATTTTATCTGGTGGTGGTATGAATACATGTCTTCGAAGGTATGGATAGTGGCCAATATCTAATATGAATTGTTATTTTGAAGAAAATGGGAATGACGTATAACTCTATATCGTGCCGTACGACCCAAAAATCTGTAACTTTCGGCATAAGTGAAAGCCTTCAAATATCCTGAGCAATATTTTACTATATACATCACATCATATACATCTCGTTTCCAATATCAGCAAGATTCATAGAAAGCAACAGCAACAACAACAACAACAACAAAACAAAAACAAAACAACAACAAATCATCTCGCTCGTAGCCATCATACAATAAATTTCTACTATCCATGTGTCTCTTTTCCCTTTCCAGCAAGTGTCATGGATACGGAAGAAGGACCTGCACGTCCTGAGCTCCGGCATGCTGCTCTTCGCGTCCGACCTGAGGTTCCAGGTACGTGGCGGTGATGTACGGTAATATGAAGATCTTTTGGCAGTACAATTTGACATTCAGAAATCTGGCAATCGATAATCCGGCTCCGTCTGATTTCTGAGCTTGATTTCGGTGCGCTGTTACTGTCAGTCAAGTTGATCGTCCTGACGGCACATGGGCTATTCAGCTACTTTTCGAGGGTATAGTTTTTATCAAAATTCTGAGAGCTATTTCATTTAGTTTCATTCTATGAAATTGTATCTAGTTGGTGAACATTGATATTTCATTTGCTTTTCTTTTATGATATGTGCGCGTAGTCATTTTTTGTTAAATCAATAAAGCATATATGACCATTAAAAATCCGACATTTTCAACAATCCAGCGCTCCTCAGATCCGGATTTTTTTTAATGTCAACCTTTATAATGGTAAATGGGGGACGGATCGAGCCAGTCTGTGAAGTAAACCATCTACGTCGTTGGGTGAGATATAGGACGGGTGAAGTGTTAATTGCTGCTGCATACTGTATGAACGTGGGTCTTATGTGAGGCAATGGTGATTGAATTTATACCGAGAGGTCTGAGGACTAATATCGTTATCTATATTTTTTAATTGACTTTGTGTGCGTGTGTGTGTGTGTGTGTGTGTGTGTGTGTGTGTGTGTAGTGTGTGTGTGTGTGTGTGTGTGTGTGTGTGTGTGTGTGTGTGATATACATCATATATACATATACATACACAAATGCACACACACACACACACACAACACACACACACACC